AAGGGGGTCTCGTGAAACCCAAAGGCCTCTGGTCCCAGCTCCCCTGAGTAGCCGAGGGGCGTTGGGATCCGGCGCCCGTTAGAATATTTCTCTCCTAGCCTACACGAAACCTCCCTATCCAGGAGCGCTCTACCTCAGGGCACGCCCTCCCTGTCCTGACACAGCAGGACCTCACCCAGCCCAGAAGAGGCGTTCTTCTCATCTGCGGCCGGTTCCTCCTCCGACCCGGAAGATATGGTCTGAATGTCGTCGCTGTCGTTGGCATTGCCCTGGGCGTGCCCAGAAGTCGCCCGCCCGGTGTCTCCCTCGCTCTCGGTGCTGCTGGAGAGCATCAGCACGTCCTGCCGAGGAAGAGAAACATTTCTGGTGGTTTTCCTTCACCCGGGAGGAACCCGTGCATCGGGCGCCCCGAACCGGTCCTGAATTTGGCTCGAGACCCTTTCTGGCGGGTGACCAAAGTCCTCGCCGACTTCCCTTTCGGCTCAGCCCTGAAAACACGTCTCCCCAGATAGGCAGGACCCTCCAAACGCTCACACTGAACCCCTTTCTTTTCTTCCGGGCCTGCTAAAGCCTTTGGGAGCCCTTTGCTCGCTGTGTCAAGAACACCGAATGTAATTAAATGGATTAATTTTCTAGCAACGGGGATGTGGGGAGGGCAGCTTCAGATAGGGCTCCCTTCAAAATGCAGGACGAAAAGCCAACGCTCTCCGCTTCCTTAGTAGAAGATTTCCTGCCACGACTGGAGATCCAGAAGCAAAAATGGAAGGTCTCGGGGGGAGCAGTGACATCGGGAGCTCTCCCACACAGGAAGCAGGAGGATGGTCGAGGAAACAAGAGGCCCAAAGTCCTGATTTTTTTGGAGGATCCAAGATAGAGACGCTGAGCTACCTCATAGAATAGCTCAGCTGGTGCCTCAAGTCTCTTTTTTGCCCCTCCCCAAATTCTCGGACACAGTTTTCCACCCGTTCAACACACCTTCAGATCTTCTGGGCGAGAGCTAACCCCTGCAGGAAAAGCCGAGCCAACTTACGTCGGGGAGTCCCTGCTGGATCTTGGACGGCCTTCGGATTTGATGGGAGGCGGTCTTGCTGGGCGGCCGTCGGACCCCCTCGGGGATGGATGGGTTGGGGTTGTAGCCGTACACCCTGCTTGGGTGGCCCGGCCTAAGACGTTGGGCACAGATAAGCAGCGGTTAGTCCCAAGGCAGGTTGGGGACCCTACCCTCCACGCTGGCCCGCCGGACGCTACGAAGCGCGTTCTGGGCAAAGGTTTCTTGGCCCTTCCCAAAAATTACAGAAGGGCAGTTGATTTGTGGAATGTGAGATGTATCGAGGGGCAGAATTTCAAAGGCTGTTTCTTCTCCGCCAGAACAAAACATCTCTTGGGTGCTTCAGGAAAATGACCCCTCCCTGCCTCGGCAGTGAGCAAAGATACAGTGATCCTTTTCCTGGATGCCCCCCTTTTCTGCCCGCAGGCGCCCCTTGAAATGGTCAAGCTGGAAAAATAACATGGCCGCCTTCCCCGCCGTGTGAAGAGGTCTGAGGCCCAGGAACCCTTCATTCTCCCAGGGGTCGAAAGCAGGCCTAGGCACCCCCAAAGTTGGGCAGGGAATCCTGAAACGACTTACGTTGCTTTGCCTGGATCGTCCGATTCCTATGGAAAAAGAGAAGAGGGAAATGCATGTCTCCGTTGCAGCTTTTCTCATTCCAATCCTTGCTCCCGGCCCACCAAGGTCTCCCAGGAGATGGTCCTGGAGGGGTGCAGAGCAGCCCTTGCAACTGTCGGTCTGAACGATCAACATTTGCAAGAGGAGAAGGGGGCAGCTTGGCTGCCCTGCTCCAGGACCACCCTCCTTCCCTGTGGCTCTGCCCCCACGTTCTCTCCGGAGATGCCCCGATGGCCTCCTGCCCAGGATTCTCCGTGCAGGGAGATTTGCAAGTCCCAGGAACCCTTCAGCCCTTGCAGAGCTGGACATTTTGCACAACTGGTGGCTTGACGCATCTCCCTCGGTGCTGAAATGTGACGTCGCTGTCCAGACGGCCCCAGGTGGTGGCTTTTTCCCCCTCCGAGACCAGCAGGTGGGTGTTTTTACAGAAACCCACCCCG